ATCGTGTATTACGGATGCAGGGCAGGCTATGTGTGCCCAATGTAGATGGTTTACGTGAGTTGATTCTCTAGGAGGCTCACAGCTCTCGGTACTTCATTCACCTAGGTACCGCGAAGATGTATCAGGACCTGAGGCAGCATTATTGGTGGATGAGGGACATAGTGGAGTATGTAGCTCGGTGCCTAAATTGTCAATAGGTGAAGTATGAGCATCATCGGTCAGGTGGATTGCTTCAGAAGCTAGAGATTCCGGAGTGGAAATGGGAGAGGATCACTATGGATTTTGTTGTTGGGCTCCCACGGACTCAGATGAAGTTCGATGCAGCTTGGGTGATTGTGGATAGATTGACCAAGTCAGCTCATTTCATTCATGTGGTTACCACTTACTCTTCGTAGCAGCTGGCTCAGGTTTACATTCGCGAAATTGTCAGGCTTCATGGCATGCCGATATCTATCATCTATGACCAGGTATGCAGTTTACATCGCGGTTCTGGAGAGTCGTACAACATGAGTTGTGTCCTCGGATGGAGTTGATTACAACATTTCACTCTTAGACAGACGGACAGTTCGAGCACACTATTCAGATATTAGAGGATATGCTTCATGCATGTGTGATGGATTTTGGGGGATCTTGGGATCAGTTCTTGCCACTTGCGGAGTTTGCCTACAACAACAGTTATCAGTCGAGCATTCAGATGGCACCATATGAGGCTTTGTATGGTAGGCGGTGCCGGTCTCCGGTGGGTTGGATTGAGCCGGGTGAGGCAAGACTATTGGGTAGAGACTTGGTTCAGGATGCTTTGGAAAAGGTTAAATTGATTCAAGATCGACTTCGTACAGTCTAATCCATACAGAAGAGCTATATGGATCAGAAGGTTCGCAACGTTGCATTCATAGTTGGGGGGCGGGTCTTGCTCTGCACTTCGCCCATAAAGGGTGTTATGAGGCTCGGAAAGAAGGGAAAGTTGAGCCCTAGGTATATCGGGCCTTTTGAGATTCTTGAGAGGGTTGGAGAGGTAGCTTACAGACTTGCACTACCACCTAGTCTCTCTGCAATACATCTAGTGTTCTATGTTTCCATGCTTCGGAAGTATCACAGTGATCTGTCTCATGTGTTAGACTTCAGCTCAGTTCAGTTGGACAAGTATCTATCTTATGTTGAGGAACCAGTGGCCATTTTGGACAGGCAAGTTCGAAAGTTAAGGTCGGAGAACATCGCTTCAGTAAAGGTTCAGTGGAGGGTTCATCCAGCCGAGGAGGCGACTTGGGAGACCAAACATGATATGCGCAGTCGTTATCCTCATTTTTTCACCACTTTAGGTATGTCTCTATACTCGTTCGAGGACGAACGTTTGGTTTAAGAGGGAGAGGATGTAACGACCTGGTCAGTCATTTTAAGTGTATTAGCCTCGACCCCCTAATTAGTTTCTTCTCTGTGTTATACTGTGGTTACGTGACTTGCCAAGAGGTTTGGTTTTTGGTTTCGGAAAGAAATGGGACACATAGTCCCTAAATCGGAAGTTTAAGTCATAAGAGTCGACCGTAATTTGAATTATGTGAAGACGACTCCGAAATGGAGTTTTGACAGATCCAATAGCTTCATATGGTGATTTTGATCTTAGGAGCGTGTCCGGATGTTGATTTGGAGGTTCGTAGGCCATTTCGGCGTTAATTGGCGAAAGTTGAAAAGTTGGAAAATTTTGGAAGGTTTAACCGGGAGTGGACTTTTTGATATCGGGGTCGGATTCCGATTCTGGAAGTGGGAGTAGGTCTGTAATGTCAATTATGACTTGTGAGCAAAATTTGAGGTTAATCGGACTTGATTTGATAGGTTTCGGCATCGGATGTGAAAGTTAGAAGTTCTAAAGTTCATTAGGCTTGAATCGATGCACAATTCATGATTTTGATGCTGTTTGCCATGATTTGAAGGCTCGACTAAGTTCGTATGATGTTTTAGGACTTGTTAGAGTGTTTGATTGAGGCCTCGGGGTGCCTCAAGGTGGTTTCGGATGGTTAATGGATTAAGTTTGGAACTTAAAGAATGGCTGAAGTGCACCAGTTATGGTGCAATCGCACATGCGCAAGTTTGATCGCAGGTACGAGCTCGCAGAAGCGAGAGGGCGAGCGTAGAAGCAGAAACGGGCAGTCCAGGCAGGACTCGCAGGTGTAGAACAATTTTCGCAAAAGCGGCTTCGCTTCTGCGGTGGGCAGATGCGCAGGAGCGACTGGGTCGCAGGCGCGCACGTGCAGGTGCGGCCCTTTGCTCGCAAAAGCGAACCCAGGGGACTTAAGTGAAGTCCGTACCTACAATGGAAGTTCCGCAGGTGAGGAGTTGCAGATGCGGTTGTGGGTTCGCAGATGCGAAATTGCAGGGCAGAAAAGGCCTAAGTTCGAGGGTTTGATTTCATTATCCATTTTTGGACCTAGAGAGCTCGGATTGAGGCGAACATTTGAGGGATTTTTAGAGGAAATATTTGGGTAAGGATTCTTGACTCGTTTTTGATTAATTCCCACGAATCTATTGTTGTTTTCATCATTTAATTAGTGTTTTTAGTTGGAAATTTGGAAAACTTCTTAGGCAAAAATTTGGGGATTTGAAAGGCGATTTGAGGACGGATTCGAGTAATTCTTATATGGTTGGACTCGATATTGAATGGGTGTTCTGGTTTTATAATTTTTGTCGGGTTCTGAGACGTGGGCCCGGGTTGACTTTTTGGAGCGATTTTTTAATTCTTTGCTAAAGTCGTAATTTCATTATTTAAATTAGTTTTCTATAGTTATATTTATAGTATGAAATTATTTTGGCTATATTCGAGCCAATCGGAGTTGAAAAATCGAGGGAAAGGCCTTCCTATTGATTGATTAAGCGAGGTTTGAGGTAAGTGACTTGTCTAGCCTTGTGTGGGAGAAATCCCCTTAGGGTTTGGTATTTTTGTAACAATTTGTGATATGTGAGGGTCGTGTACACGAGGTGACGAGTGCGTACACGAGGTAAATATTGAAATTCCGATTTTATTTAAGTAGTTTCCTTTCTATGCCTTAACTGAGTTACTTTAGCATGTATTGTCATCGTGTTTAGCCTAATTTCACCTATCTACTTGTCTTATCTCTTATTTGCAACTTGTACTACACGTTTAGTTGAATTACCTGATTTCTTGATTCCATGTTTCTTAATTAACTGTGGGACTCTTTACTTGAAATTGATATCCTTGAAATATCGTTGTTTGAGATGTTATGTTTGGTTTCTGTGATTATTGTTGAGATGATTGTTTGGTTGTTGCACGAGGTTTCTATCGTGTAGTTGTTATTGTTGCACGAGATTTTTGCCGTGCCATTGTGATTATTGATACGCATGCGGTGGTATAAGGTGTGGGTGTTAAAACACATGCGGTGAGATAAGATGGGCTTGATACACGTGGCTAGTAGGGGAACTACTAGAAGTCATGCGGTGTGATAAGGTTGGCTAAAACGGGGGATGCTATTTCGGGAAAATGATTTTCAGAACAAAATATAAAGGCTCCCGCGGTGATATAAGGAAAGATTGTGAGATATTTACTTTTGGGACTACGAGGCGGTACCTCGGGAGTGTCCCTGTTGATTTCTTCTATTTGCAGTATTGTTGTTGTTGTTGTTGTTGTTGTCCCTTAACTTGTAAGATTTTTGCTTTCCTTTCATGTTGTATGTGTCTTTCTTTTATTCCACGTTATTACCTTCCGTAAATTTTCTTTGTTTAACTTCTCTGTCATTTTATTATATTATTATATCTTCTGTCTTGTTTCTTATTATTTCCAGTAGGCCCCTGACCTGACTTCGTCACTACTCTACCGAGGTTAGGCTTGGCACTTACTGGGTACCATTGTGGTGTACTCATACTACGCTTCTGCACATCTTTTTGTGCAGATCCAGGTACTGCCTACCAGACTAGGTATCGGTGAGCTAGTTCGTACGTGGAGACTTCAAGGTACATCTGTCAGCGTCCGCAGACCTCGGAGTCCCCCTCTATCTTTATTACATTGTCACCTTATCCTCGTTGACTCTAATGTATAGGGATATTTAGTATTTCTCTTTAGAGCTTGTGACTTATATCTACTGGGTTTTGGGAGTTGTTTATACTTGAGTTGTAATTTTTTTATTTATTATAATTGTTGACGTTTTTGAGTTTTAGCTTAATGTTTTGGTTATTCCGCATACTTATTAGGCTTACCTAGTCTTGGAGACTAGGTGCCGTCACGACAACCTACGGAGGAAAATTGGGGTCGTGACATGATATGTTGAGAAGGAAGTGGAAAAATGAAAAAAAGATAAATTAAATAAGAAAATTTTAAATATTATTATTTGGATAGTGGTCAATTGTTGTCTTCGCTTTGGTTTTCTGGTTGCACTACTTAGTGGGCATTTGGACATAAGAATTGTAAAATTCTAAAATAGGGGGAAAAAATTTTTCAACTGAAAATAGTATTTGAAATTTAAAGTTGTGTTTGGACATGAATATAATTTTGGGTTATTTTTGAAGTTTTGTGAGTGATTTGAGTGAAATTTTTAAAAAACTAACCTTTTGGAGTTTTTCAAATTTTCGAAAATTTTCAAAATGCATCTTAAGTGAAAATTAAAAATTTTATGAACAAACGCTCATTTCGAAAAAAAAAATTTCTTAGTCCAAACGGGCTCTTAGTGTTTTTTTTTAATTTTTATTTTCGTTTGATTTTTTGATTGGTTTTCTTATCATTGCCTCTTTTCTTTTATCCCTGAGCCGGTGGTCTATCAAAAACAACCTCTGACCTTTTTAAAAAGTAGGGATAAACTGTGCATACTCACTACCCTCTTTAGACCCACTTGTAGGAATATATTTGATTTGTTATTGTTGTCGTTATTGGGTAGTGGCTAACTGGAAACCGGTGGACAATTTAATCACTTTTTAGTAATTTCTTTTCTACTCACGCGCCTTTGAGGCGGTATAAATATTTTCTCTATCACCTTATCACTCAAGGGTGTATTAATCCCCATATGAATAAAGGGAAACTTGAACGCCAAGTAGTTTTCCGAGTCCTGATTAAGAACCTATTTATCAGATCAATGAATTTCGGCATAAGGAATTAATTTTTTGTGAATGGATGCAAGTGGAAATTCACATTCTATTTCATTAGCAACATAAAAACATATGACAAGATCAAAAATGGTTCGTGGCTGAGACGTGGAGCTAAACGACGCCGTATGACAACAACCGACTCTTCATTTCTCTTCTGTTCCTTTCGGTTCGTGTTCAATACTACTGGTTTCTGATGATCGCCAGTAGATACATACACTCGTCATTCCCACCTTCTCCGAATTCACCAACCTAGGGTTTTCGAACTCTCTGGATTCTTCCGTGCAATTTCTAGAAGTTTCGTCAAATGGAATCACTCTGTTTCCACGACGGCAACATCACTGACTTGATCAACAAACGATCCCTCCACGTTCGCCATGTACGCCTAAATTCTCATCTCCTCATTCAGTTACCTGTTTTTATTTTGAATTTCGTCAGTTTGCTACGAGCTTCTTTTTCTATGTAGTTTTTAAGTTATGATGATGCCATAAGCTATGATTATTGATTGTAGTTTCAGTTAGTTAAGTGAATATTGAATAATTGTGCGTTGTAACGTGAGGTAAGGAAATACTGGTGGTGTAAAGTTTACCACATTCCGAGTGTAATTCGAACTTTCTAGCTAAGGTTCCAGCGGATGAAATGTTGAGTTTCATTGAACAATAATCACTTATTACTCATGCCTTCACTTATATTGGACAATATCTTGTATGATATTATAATAGGAACAACTATAACTATAAGGATGACCTATTAGTGACTGTCGTGGTTGCCCTCACTAGCCAACTTGAATTTGAAAGGGAAGGGAGAAACTTTATATGGGTTGTTTAGTATTTAATTTTGGAATAGTAGAGCAATGATACTAAATTGTGCTGGCAAGAAATAAAAACATACACAAATGCATATGAGAAAGTATTTATGCTGTGCTAATGGCAAAGATAAGACTAGCTATAACAGATTGAACAGATTATGACACCCTAGAAATACTTATCAGGAAAAAAGGATACCCTGAAAATGTTTCATAGTGTTTCTGAAGCAGCTTCGATTGAATCAAGTAAGCCACCCCTAGAAGGACTCGTGTCTTCGTTTAAACCCTAAGGGGTCGTTTGGTACGCGGGATAAGGTTGGATAAGGTAAGGGATTAAATTTATACCATGTTTGGTTGATGGTATAAATAGACTTAATACTGTATATCCCATCGTATCCCCCTTATCCCATCAAACTTGGGATTATTTTATCCCACTTCCCAGGTGGGATAAAATAGTCCAGGAATTATAATCGTGGGATTATTATCCCGGGATAACTTAGTCCGCTTACCAAACGACCCCTAAGTGTTTGCAATAGCAATCTACCATTTTCATAAATCAAATCCAAGCTCTGGTTAAAGCCCTTACTAGTGGTCAGTATTGGAGTTTATGCCTGTGGCACAACGGAAAATGTAACATAGAAAATAATTTCTTTAGGGAATTAATTTTTGTTTTATTTTTACTGTTTGGTCCGATGTAAAAGTTGGTGACATTTCGTAAACACACAAGGTATAGGATGACGTATGAAGATAATATTTTTAACAATGTTTTCGATTATTAAAGTACTACATACTACAATGTCGAAGTTAGAATGAAGTAAGTGCTTTGATTATGAGTTGAGATATTTGTGAAGGAAAATCACTTTTGTTCATAAGAGGGAAATCATTTTTCTTTTTTTTAGTGGAAAATATTTTGTTGGAGAAAACATTTCGAAAATTGAAGGTAATCAAACACGGAAATTGTTTACCTTGAAGAAGATATTTCTATCAAACAAACACACCTGTATGCGCAGTATGAATTAAGCAATTACAGGGTTCGATTGGTTCTCTTCTCTTTCCGAACTTTTAGCATGTTATCTCTCTTTTCTACGTATTTTTAGATCTTCTTGATTGATGATTCCTACTCATACTATTTTAATGTTTCACCAATTTTAATTAGCGAGAAATGATTCTTCTTTTTCTAAAATACGTACTCATGCATTCCAAGCCAAAAGTAATGTAAAGAAGAGCACAAGTAGCTCTAAATAATTATATCAATTATGAAAATGGGAATAAGAAACGATAAACGCAAACCCTCATTTTATTCATCGTGTTCGTTACTACTTTTCTGAAAAAAAGAAGAAATAAGTTGAAAAATCAACACATGAGAACTATTTCCCGACGACTAAAAATCTGAATAAATAAGTGAAGGGCAAATGTATTTGCTTTTCTTACTCAAACCAATGTTGTTAGATTTTGAGAATTGCAAGACAAAACCATCACAAGAGCTTAGAGCTTTGATTTGACTTTGGGCAGTTACACATTTGTTAGTCTTTTTTGAAATTTTATCAAATGCTTTTACAGCCATCGGAAATATATTTCTTCTTTGTTTCCTATATGTGAGACCAGCAAAACTCCCAGTCCCTTAGTAATTTGGATTACTAATAAGGTTCTCTCTGCTGTTTTTAAGCTCATTACATTTCTGCATATTTCGTCTCATCACTGTATTCTGCTTGGGTTTCTATTCATTATAGGATTCAGGTCATGGATTGCAGATGCACTCCTCTTTGGTGGAAAGAATGGCCTTAGAAAGAGAATTGGAGGTGAGTGCGTTAATGAGTACAACACTACTGCACATACCATTAAGGTGTTTATCTCATAGTATCTTTTATCTGACATAATCTGATTCAAAGTTGGGTATCTCTCTGTCGGAGTCGGGCTAAAGATTAAAAATATTTGTTTTCATCTTTTTTATTGCAAATGACAGTCATTAAAACCCTCTTCCTATTTTACTGGAGATCAACTAGTTAAGGTTGTCAATTATTTACCTTTTTTCTCAAGTGCAGCCCATGTAAGTGGTATTCTTTCCTTTACATAAATAGGCGCATCATATAGACATTTTTTTCTTATTATGGATTACAATAAAGTTTATGCATGTAGAACTTAGATCAGAATACAAATTTTAATATTTCAAGATGCTAGAACATTATGTGAAATGATTGTGGTCAAAATTGCACCTTACTTGCATACACGTCATCAAAAAATGACTCACTTTGATGTGTTGAGTTGGTTGGGGAGTAGGTTAATAAATTGTTTGAAGTTGAAAGAGATATTTTCATAAGCAAACCATTATGTAGCTGTATTATAATTCCTTCCACACATTAGCAATTAAGTTCTGATCCTCCATTTCTTTCATGCTGCTTTGTAATTAAATTTACACTGTTCAATAGAAATTGTATAATAATAGACCTAACCTTGAATTTCACAATAAAAAAGGGGGTATTCCATCCAGACATGAAATGCTGCGTACGTGCAAAGGATATGTCTGCTTCTGGTTCTCAATCTATGTGAAGAGAATTGGACACATAAAGGCATATAGGTGGGTGTCTGAGTGTCCATGTGGCAGACGACGGTTAAACCCTCTAAGAAATGCTGTTAGTTTCTCCATTGGACTTCTGTTTGGTAGTACTTTGTTGACTCATGGATATATATGTCTGTGCTCACAGTCTCAAGGGTTTGTTCATTGTTTAACAGGGGCATCAGGGTTGTGTGAATGCGATAGCTTGGAACTCAAAAGGCTCTCTTTTGATATCTGGATCAGATGATACAAGAGTATGATACTCTCTACGCCTCGTTGCTCCCTTATTCTTCTATTTTAGATGAACTGTTAAAAGCTTCTCAATGTGATAGCTGGGTCGGCTTTAGAGTCTGCAAGATAGCCCTGACAAGAACCACATACTTATATATATGTTCTTTATATTTATTCCACCCTGTCAAGTAGACAGATTGTTGTTGATTAGTAGTCATTTGAAACTCTTTATTATGTTTTATATTGATCATTTTTGTACGTAGTTTTCTTGTGAGAGGCTCAAGTCTATTCCCATTCTTTTTCCAAAGTGCGAAAACATAGGTGTTTGACTTGGACAGACAGAGAAGTTTTATTTAGTGTTTACCATGAGCGCAGGGACGAGGATGGGGATGGGGAACTTCGCAAGTTGTTTTAGCTGTGGATTTATTGCCTGTTGAATACCATTTATCTTGTCTTTGATGATTCGGCTCATTGTGACGTTTGCATAATACAACAAAGTGGGAAAAGACTGTCAACAAAAACCTTGAGATTTATTTGCTATTTTGTTCCATGGGTTAGATGTGATTCAGTGAGGGTTGACTCGAACAGAGTTGAGTCAATCATAGTACCGGAGGTGTCACATCTGCATTTTGATACATTTTAGTCAGCACATAAGTCAATGGAAAGATGTTTCAACAATAACAACCCAGTGAAATCCCACAAGTGGGATCTGGGGAGGATAGTGTGTATGCCGACCTTGCCCCCACCTTTCAAGATAGAGAGACTGTTTTCGATAAACCATCGGCCCAAGAAAGCATAGTTAGAACTTTGTTGAAAAGAAATGCAGTAATGGACAAGTGGAAAAGTAGTAGTACAAGATGCAAGAACAACAGCAAGATAATAAGATAACCGAAGCAAAAAAAATAACCGGTAGTAATAGAAATCTAACTACAAGCAAGTACGAGAATAATATTAATGCTACAGATACGGAAAAGAAATACGCTTGACTATCTACTAACCCTTTACCCTAATTTTCAACCTCCACACCCTCCTATCAAGAGTCATGTCCTCGGTAAGCTACAGATGTGCCATGTTCTGCCTAATCACTTCTCCCTAATACTTCTTTAGCCTACTTCTACCTTTTCTTAGACCCGTCATGGCCAACTTCTCACACCTTCTCACTGGGACATATGTGCATCTCCTCTTCACATGCCCGAACCATCTCAGCTTCGCTTCCCGCATCTTGTCCACCACGGAGGACACTCTTACCTTGTCCCGAATATCTTGAATCAATCTGTTTATTTTACCCAGTTTGACTGCTGATGTGTTGATTACTAATGTTGTAAACAATAACTGTAGACTTCAGATGAACCATTTCAGATCAAATGGTCTTTATTTCTCTTGCTCATTTAGAAAATTGGCATTCAAATAGCAGCCCAGGGCTAAGTCTCCTCTCTAACATCGTGGCAGTGACTTGCTTTGGAAATCTTTTCCTTTCAATCATGATCCTCTACCTGGTAGAGAGTGGCATGTCCTCTGAGGAATTTGGTATTGTAGTGATCTAAAGTGAGAAGGTGTAGGCGTTTACTAATATTTCTCTGGCATCAACATAAAAACTCAGTTTATGGCTTTATGCCCTGATCCACTTTACTTGTTGCTATTCCCTTGGGAAAAGGGAAAGCTATTCTTGCCATGGATTGTAAAATTTGGTGGATAGGTGATACAGAACATTGCTCAACAAGCTGTGAGATTTGTTTCTTTATTCTTATCGTTTAGGATGAGTACTAACCTTCTTCACTTGGTAATTCTTTGTTTCTGGTGTCTCGTTCATAGTTTTCCTCCGAGATGGATGATCCATCTGTGTTCATCCATAACTTGCAAATGGCACTCATAATAAGCAACAAAATTCAAATAACTGCATACACAAGTTTTGCTCCTTGTGATGTTACGGCTACTGAATGATCCTGCATCTTTGAAATTGAGGACCTCCATGAATTGTGATGTAACAATTATTTGGAGTTTTGGTCACGCGTGAAAACAGTTAGGGTTCACACGAATATATTCCTGTGAAGGGAGGCTAAGAATTTGAGATAGAGAATTATCCTATTTTTCAAATCTAGAGTTGATTGAATAAAAGAAAGTTTTATATAAACTTAAACTTAAGATGGAATGTAAATCTTCAGAGATGCTTTGTTACATCTAGTTTAAATGAAGAGCTATTACTGACACAAAAAAGAAATCAAAGCAAGGGCTGCCGCTGGGTCTGCCAGGAGTAGTCTGGCAACAGCTCTCGAGTGCGACTTGAAGATGGAACAGTTTGTCGAAGAGCTGGTTGAGAATCTTGTGAGCAATTGTTCACAATTTCTTTTGCACTTTGCAGGTTATTTTTGGGGCCCCTTAGTTTATGGTTATTGTATCTGTATTGCATTCCCTGGGTCAGTTGATATTTGGCATCTTGTGTTTGCTCACTAAAATCTGAGTGAAAAAAAACTTTATTTGATGCAGATGAATATATGGAATTATTCAAGCCGCAAACTTTTGCATTCCATTGAGACCGGTCACACTGCCAACATATTCTGCACGAAGTTTGTTCCAGAAACTTCAGATGAGCTAGTCGTTTCTGGAGCAGGAGATGCTGAAGTAGTTTATTGATACACCAAACCTTTGTGTGTTTTTATAACGATGCTGTTCACTTGCCTTGAGTGGGTTTTTCAGAAATTAATGCTCTCTTTATATTTACTTTATATGGCAGGTTCGTCTTTTTCATTTGTCTCATCTAAAGGGAAGAGGTGCTGAAGACAGTGCTTTGACTCCATCCGTTCTATTTCAGTGTCATACCAGGAGGGTTAAAAAAATAGCTGTAGGTGTTCAGGCAGCGGGAAACATCCTTTTAAGTGATAATCAAGTATTTGTTGATTTTATTTCCTTTCTATTTATAGTATATGCTGCTGTTTCCAATAATAGGTTGAAGTTGGGAATCCTCATGTAGTATGGAGTGCTAGTGAAGATGGGACAGTGAGGCAGCATGACTTACGGGAGGGTGCGTCTTGTCCCCCAGCTGGTTCTTCTCGTCAAGAATGCCGTAATATACTTGTTAGTCCTAACACACTCTGCGTTGTGCTGAATTATATTTCCTGCTTCACCCAAAGGCTAAAGGTCCCCTATCTCTCTTATAAGAAGATCAAGTTACAGCTGCCTCATCAATGAGTGTTTTTTTTCTTGCTTTGTTGTGACATCATCATAAAGTGCTTTGGGTATACTTTTTTGTAATTTTGGCAAAGGTAACTGTGTTTGGTGCTCTAATAGTTTTTCCTTGGCTAGCCTGAAGCTTTAGCTGCCAACTCAAGAAGTTTTATATGATTAGTATTGATTTTTACATTTGTTGTATAACCATAACTGCAACTTTTGAAGACTTTGATTCTTTCTCGAGTGGTTGATTTTAATGTTTCCAAATAGTCGATCTGCATTTGTAGTCAAGCGAGTTGATATGAATGTTAAGAACTTTGATTTAAGCTGTGATGTATCTAAACAGTTTGCATTTCGATATGTTTGGTCCGTGATCACAGCTTGACTTACGCTGTGGAGCTAAGAAATCATTAACTGATCCTCCGAAACAGTTGTTTGCTCTGAAGTCGTGTGATATTAGCTCCACAAGGCCTCATTTGCTCCTCGTTGGTGGAAGGTGTAGTTGTCTTTACTAGTTTATTGCAATACGGGTATATTTCAGGCCGTACTGCTGGTTTTCTAATCTGCTATTTAATTTTTGCAGTGATGCTTTTGCTCGGTTGTATGATAGGAGAATGCTGCCTCCATTATCCTCGAGTCAAAAAAAGCTGCCACCTCCACCTTGTGTCAGCTACTTCTGCCCAATGCATCTTTCTGATCGTGTTAGTTTCAGTTTCAGTTTCTGCATTATCTAACTTTAGAGTCTGCTAACAGTTTTGCTAGCTAGAATTTCTATTATTTCTTTATCATTAGAGGTACAGTGGTTTTAGTAGATCATCGGGAACACTTCATCTCTTTTTGCAGTTTGCGGCTGCTTGCACTGAAGATGTCCTCCTTGTAACCTTCTTCTGACTTCATAGAACAAGAAATCATTGAGAATTTCTTGCAAGGAACTTGTGTAGTCCACGACATGCTATATTGTCAATCCTGTAGTTGGAAGTGGATATCAATGAGCTGTCTAGTCGTTTTTTTTGTTAGAGGGAGAAAACGAGGGGAGGGGGTCCTGAATAGGATCACATGCTTTTTTCTGCAAAACATGACTACATTAAAATTTGATTAATCCAAAGAGGGTAATCCACTTCTGACATGGTTTTTCGTTGCTGCCAACCATCTTAAAATTTAACTACGGTTACATGGTCCATCTGTGGGGTGTGTGTGTGTGTTTGTGTAAACTGCAATGCAACAACACTGGAAAAGGAGGGACTGGAGAAGTAGCTCACTTTAAAGAAAGTGAGCTACTCCACTTTATCATGGCCATGTAATAGTAGCATACTAGATTAGTGCAGCTGTGGCTGAATTTTACAATGGATATCTATTTCTATAGAGTTTCTTACCATGTAAAGTTAGTTTTACATCCATTTAATAGCAACTCTTCTTAGTTCTCTGTGTGTGTGTGCGTATATATACACACACACATACATATCGCATATTAGTCTTGCTGTAAGTCTGTAACCCATCACTGCTTATTTTCCTAAGTGATTGTAGCATATCACGTGGCTTCGAAAATGGAAGCTGATGAATTTTTCTCTCTTTTTCCTCAGGGACGTTCCAGCTTTCATCTGACTCATGTCGCATTTAGTCCTAACGGAGAGGAGGTTTTGCTTAGCTACAGTGGAGAACATGTATACTTGATGGATGTGAATCCTGGTACATAGCTTCCGTTAATTCTATCTTACAATCGGTAACTTTGTTATTGATTCTGTTTTCACTTTCCTCTGCCACCTCGTATGGTTGTGCGCCTTGTGCTTTCAGTTTCTGGAATCACTTGAAATGTGTGATGAATCTAACTTGTGCAGTATTAGCTATAATGGGTTCAAGGACAGTACTTGAGGAATTCTGTTAGAGATTTCTCGTATTGAGTATTCAATTATTATACTATGTTTTTTCTGCTGCTCTTCCTCATGTTGTTGAAGCCAACTTTAATTAGTGTTTTAACAAGTTTGAAAGATAAGCAATATGGAGGAAAGAAGAAAAGAAGATGTGCGTTTGTTGATAAGGTATGATAATGAAGAACATACTAATAGTATTATATAATAAGCACACAATATTTCTGGGTCTTTTTATGTGTAATTAATGCGATCTTACGTTTGTTCTGTACCATCGGGGTAGCACAGAGCACTTCGTGCATGAGGAAGCTTGTTTTTATGTCAGTGACCTCTGTTAGTTACTCATTAAGTTGCTCTTCATCCTTGTCAAGGTGGAGACCTCGTTGAGGGGAGAGCAAAATTTATTGTAGTTGGCTTCTTTTTATTGTTTGTTGATGGTGGTCTTCTTTTGGTAAGTGGTACACTGATCTCGGGATCACTGTGCTTGTATTTTTACACAGTCTTGGTGCCACATTCATGTAAGTATCTGATTTGTTAGAAAAACTGTAACTCTTTGTGCATGAGCGCCCGTGCCAGATATACTGGGTGTTGTTCAAGGTTAATTGACAAATGATTTTAGCCCTGTCTACTTGCTTCAAGTGCTTGGTCCACGTGCATGTGATATTCGAAAGTGTGTGAGTTGAAAGTAACTTGATGCACTACTACCTGCGGAGATATTACATTCTTTGTGCTTGAATGCTTAAGATAAATCATACTTGAAGCTCTGGTTATGTTACTGTCTTATGATTGATGAATTTTTTATTGGTTGTAGCACATGGAGGTTCTATGCCGTATACTTCAGGAGATGTATCAAACCTGATGAATTTTGCTCCCTTGCTCAATGGAATCGAATTGCAATCATCAGTTAGTGGAATCTTTGTAAACGGTTCTTCATCGAAAAGAATTCCAGCTACCAAGGTTATTCTTCCTTCTTTACCCCTCCCATGATCTCCTGCTTCCTGGCCCAAAGTGATAAAAACTTGCATTTTGCTTTCTCTTGCTTTAGGATGACAAATCATAATCATTGTTTTTTCCTTCTTCTCCAGCTAGAAAAGTGCAAAAAATTGATTCAGATGGCAATGAAGTCTTTGAAAGAAGATTCCAACTTTTATTATGGGATAGAAGCTTGTAATGAAGTCTTGGACGGTTGCAGGGATGACATTGGTCCCCTTCTAACCTTCGAATGTTTATGCACTCGTGCAGCAATATTGCTCAAGGTGTCTGAAGTCAGACAATTTCCTTATTGTACTGCGCTAACGCTTATTTAAGGATAGTATACCNTGACATTGGTCCCTTTCTAACCTTAGAATGTTTATGCACTCGTGCAGCAATATTGCTCAAGGTGCCTGAAGTCAGACAATTTCCTTATTGTACTGCGTTAACGCTTATTTAAGGATAGTATACGTAATTTAAAAAATCTTTGGCCTTTTATCAGAGGAAGTGGAAAAATGATGCACATATGGCTATAAGAGATTGTCATAGAGCTAGAAAGCTCAATTCATCTTCCTTTAGGCCTCTTCTTTTGATCGCTGATGCTCTTTCACAGGTATGTTATTCAGTGTTTGTAGGATTCCGTGGCTAAAATATTTTTTGTTCATATGCTGGATAGAAGTAAGCGCCCAATTCCCATGTGGGCATATGTGGGCATTTGCGCTCATCCCTCCATTCATGGTCGCAGTCCTCTTAGCCATATGATTTTTCTTGCTTGGTTGTAATCGTCCTTCTCTGGCATTTCTTTTTCCAATATCGCATTGGAGTATCAATTATCAGCGAGAAATACCAAAGGTGATTGTGCATCATATTTATGATGTACTCAAAATTTAAGGCGATGTATATGCTTTTAGTCATATTTTAACTCATACTGTGATATGATATCAAAATCATTTGAAGTTTTAGGATTCTCTTTAGAATAAGTTTTTCTTCTCAGTCATGAAATAACTTGGGAAAAGTGGATTTTACCAGTCATTCTTATTAGTAAACCTTGTAAATGGTTTAGATACTTTTGCTTACGTTATTTTAGTTAAGTTTATGATTAATGTTTCTAGCACTTGATAATTTTTTGCCTCCCAAGAATGTTAATTTTTTTTATAAGGTTGAGAATGTTACTTATTAGCTTGCTAAAAAAAGAATGTTAATTATTAATACTATTTAGGAAATAAGTCTCCCTTGGTTTGGTTTCAAATATGCACTAATCCTCCATATTATATACCTTTGATCTAATTAGGTATTGTTTGTCGCTATCCATACCTACATATATATATTTGCAGGCTAGGATAGTGGGTAATTGATTATTCATCTGATTTTGCATTTAGCACTTGATTGTTACTGATATTATCTGCAGTTGGGTAAGCATAAAGAAGCATTGGAGTTCGCTATTGGCGCTCAATCCTCGGCTCCATCTGATTCTGAAGTTGCCCTAAAGGTGGAGAGTATAAAAGATAATATCGCTGCAGGTTAGTGACTTACATATTGAGCCTGTGATTTTAGTAGTTTCTGGCCTAAAACAAAAAATGTTAAGCTGGTATCAATTCGAGCTCTATCAAAATCCTATTGAAACACTAGACTACTGCTGAATATATTCTAGTTTTTAAATCTTTCAGTTCCCTTTTCCCAGTACTTCTGTAAACTTGTTTGTAGTTTTCCTTATCCATGACTAGCTGATGAGTTATTGAAGACCCTAGAGCACCATGAGTTTACCGGGTTTTCCTAATTATGTTATTTTGCCACCACCATAAGGACTATGTTCATGTTTTCCTGTCTGTGCTGCTGTTTTCGGTCCTCTGGGAATCACTGCTCCCTTCAACTCGATGTCAATTTTGTTCTTGTGTGTCACTTTCTGATTAGTCTTTCAGAACTCTTATTATAGCTTCAATGTTAAAATGATTTTTGTAGTTATTTCTATGGATGGAATATAGCTGTAGAGAACTCGATATTGTGGAGGATTCGAGATTCATTTCACTCGAGCTTATTCTTGTTGGGAATGCTAATTCATATTCATGCTTTAATGCGTACCAACAATATTCCTGGATTTACAGCTGAAGCAGACAAAGCAAATAAGGCAAATGGAGGAGAATCTAGGTCAGATCCTCGGGCAGGAAGAGTATTATCTCTAAGTGACATACTTTATCGTTCAGACGCAAACAGTGATGCATCGCAAGATGGTCCCAGGTCTGAAAGAGATGATTCTGATGATGACGAGGAGTTAGAATTGGCTTTTGAAACATCAATATCTGGTGATGAAGGACGGGATGTTGATCCCGATGTCCTCCATGGAAGTTTGAACTTAAGAATTCATAGGAGAGGTGATTCCACTGGGGAGACTGGACGAGCAAATGGTGCTAGTGGTTCGCCAACCTCGAGTCAAAAAGAGAAAGCAGCTTACAAGGTTTTGGCTTGAATGTTGTTTTTCTATGCTGTAAAGTTTCTCTTTATTTATTCTCTGGATTAAGAAAAGATGTTCTTTTCTCTATTCTTTTACTGTGATGTGTTTGCTTTGATATGCTTGTGCATCTTTGTGTTTTGTTGAGGCTTTTTGTCTATTGAGGTCATGAGTGTAGCAATGGTTCTGCATATGATATTAAATCTCTATATCTTGAACTGCTGGTTAGGTTGTTTTTACCTGATTAGTATCTCTTTTTCTTTGTTTCCAGAAGAGCTAATCTAAGCCAAAAGTCCCTAATATCATCTCGAATCTCTTTCCGGCAACTGGTTTTATACTTTGAATTGTATTCTGAGTCTCAAAGCATAACACTGCACTTGGTGGCTGGTCTGGCCGTCTGGGTAGATTGTGAGTGGTGACTTGCTGGTTTCTGTTGCTTATGAATCCCCCTGCTCCAACGCTTGGTTATGTCCAACAGATAGTTCACATAATTTGCCCATACTCCTATGGAACTGAATTTTATTTTCTTACTTGACCAACAGTTTTGAGGTTTATTATTTAAATTTCAAAGGTATCATAGGTTTTAGAAGATGAACTGAAGTGTGAAATGTGATAAAAATAATCAGATGCATCCAATTGATCACTGTAATTGTCTTTGACATACCATTGTGTAGACTGCTTTATGAGTTGTGGAATTGTAGTTGGGTGACACGAGTTTCATTTGTTAAAAAGTGTCACAATACTCATACTGCAGACCGACTACTAATTTGTAGAACAGTAGGCAGTCTTGGATTTAATTTGTTAAAAAGGATGTCAATATGCTCAGGAAAGCCAAATTTTCTAAAAGTTGAACATTTCTTGCTCAGAGAAGTTTCTTCCCCCTTGTTATCTGGATGCCTGCACATCTTGTCTTTCAATATCAAGTTTGTTTCCTTGTTTAAACAGTGCTCTTTTTTGTTCTCTCAAATTATATTGCAGCCTGAAGCAGTGATAGATATGAAGCAAAGATATGTTGGTCATTGCAACGTAGGCACTGATATAAAACAGGCGAGCTTTCTTGGAGAACGAGGTATATTCAACTTTTTTTAATGGTTTCCATGCAGATATTCATGATTATCCTGAAACATTATCTGGTTATTATAGTTGAGTAGAAGAACTGCCTTTCATCTGCTTTGCTCCCCTGTAATCTCTTTCAGAAGGATCTGTTAAACTAAGAAATTAAGCCTACGTAGACGTCTAAGTCAATTGGTCTGTATGTGTGACACTATGATGGTTGAAGGTTGTTAAAAGAGGATGAACGTAGAAGGAAATTTGTCTCAAAAGACCAATCTCTAAGAATCCACGTGGATTTGGCTATATGCAAGCAAAAGATCCATATAGTTGATAAGAGATTAACGGCTTAATGATGTACATGAGCAGACACTCTTTTGTTGTATATTTTGGCTATGCATCTTCTTGATACCATTTAATGAAATTCTCTTACTTCATCAAAAAAAGAGATTAAGGCTTAGTGATGTTGATGCTATTATTTTATGTTAGTGTTTGCTGGAAAGTCTTTAGCTTGTTTAGAAATTTGTAAACCAATAGTAAATATAGAGAACCATAAGTTCGCTTGGAGTTCTTTAGTTTCTTTAGATATTTGTAATCTAGAGAACTTTAAGTGTTAGATAACATAATTTGTCCTGAAAGAGCAACTGTTGCTTGTTGGGTTGAAATGGGTTCAAGTAGCGTGATATTGATGATTCATATAGTCAACCCAATTAATTAGGATTGAGGAATAATTGCTGTTTTTTACCAACGCTGAGCTTTGTCATAGTTTCTAGGAATACCTGTTGTGACAGCATAGAGATCATTCATGTAGCTCATTTCTCTCATCGCCTTCTAATGTAGGAGTAGTTGGTTAGAGATCATTCATGTAGCTCATTTCTCGTTGCCTTCTTATGTAGGAGTAGGTGGTTTGAGTAAGTTACCGTGGAGTTAGCTCATCTGATCAGATTTACCTTCCCTTAATAGGATAACCAATCTCACGAGGATAAAATGGCACGAGCAATTGTACATATACTCTTTTTCAATTAAGTGTAATCTCACTGGGAAATCTTAGCAATCCAGTTGGTTGAACTTTCACCTTATTGGTGAGGGTTCGATTTGCCACTGCCTTGATCCACTTGGCGACATGCGCTCCTACTCCTGCTCAGTGTTTTGGATAGCGTGTGGCGACAAATAGCGACGAGAGCCCGCTTCACTGAGGCGGGAGGCGAGAAGCGAAGCGCTCACCTTTTTATGTGAAGCGACAATTTATACAAAAAATAAAATATTAAATTTGAAGCGACAATATCAACAATATATTAATAAATATATCAATTCAAAAATTAAATACTCAATAGATAGTGCTGCTCGATAAAAAACAGAGCAAAAACAAAGTTGAATGCTACTCTCTGTTGAGTGCTGCTCGATCAAAAACAGAGCCAAAAAAAAAAAAGAGAAGAAAAAGGAAGAAAGAAAGAAAGAAAGGTGAAAGAAGAAACGAAAAAAAAAAGGCAGAAGAAGAACAAAGGAGAAGAAGAGAAGCGTATCTGGCTGGGTCGACTTGGATGAAGAAGAAAATGGCAAAAGAGATGAAGAAGAAAGAAGAATCGTTGTGGGTGGGTCGACTTGGAGAAACAAATCGCTGGTTTGCTCGGCTGCTTGAAGCTTGAAGAAAGAAATCCCTGAAAGCCCTAATCGCGGGTCTTTTTCTTTTATTCCCTGCGCTTTTTCTTTTATTTTTTAAAAAAGCGACGCTACAGTCGCCTCTCGCTACACAGGTAGAGGCGAGCGCTATTTTGAAAATGCAACGCAACAGAGGAAAAAGGCGTTGGATGCTCGCATCGCTACGCCTCACGCTATTAGGGCTGAGGCGAGCGCTATTTACAACACTGCTCCTGCTGAGCTGGTTCCCTGTCTCCGATATGTAACGGAAAGATTGATTGGTTTACGGGATACATTCATGAATGCACTCTCTGCTGTGCCTCTCTAGACAAACTTGATTCAAGTCACTCCACCAATTTTACAATAGCACCATGCCTTAATAATCGCATAGGCACCGGGCTTGACAAGTTCAAGCAAAATTGTAGGAGGAGCAGGCTACACCTAGCTTAGCCTTTTCAATATCCCATTTGAGAAATCTCTCTTTTGGCTGAATACATTGGCTGTCTTCTCCAAAAAAACAAAAGAAAAAAAGAATACATAGGCAGCCCCCTGAACTTGTCAATTTTTTTCATTTAGGCGCCTCAATTGAGACCATAACTTATTGGGCCTCTGAACCTCACTGCAATATGTGTCTATTTAACCCTTCACCATGAGAGTAAAAAAAACGAAACACGTGTAGTTCAGATGCTCTGATGTGGAAAAGTAACCAATGAAACAAAGACGTGGCATAATCTTTAAAAAAAGTTAAAGAGTCCCAAAATGTTACTTTTGTTTTATAGCCAGATTTGTCCCCCACCCCCTCCCCCCAAAAAAAAACCCCAGGAAAAAAAACTCCAATTTCTTCACAGTCAGAGCCTCTATATCTGCCATTTGTAGTTCAGATGCTATGATGTGGAAGTGACCAATGAAACAAAGATGTGGCATAATCTTTAAAAAAAACTTTTGAGTCCCAAAAAGTTACTTTTGTTTTACAGCCAGATTTGT